TGAAACTGATGGTATATTCCTAGAAAACAAGGACTAATAAATTTCATCCTCATAGCCTTCCAAAGTGGAATCCAGACTTTTAGTGAACACTTACCATCATGGTGAAGAGATGGTTTCGCCGGGTCTGTCGATCAGGAAAGAAGATGGCAGCCCCATTGAGAAGGGTATTCCTGACTTCTTGCTTTAATATCTCCACAGGCACGGAGTCTCCACCCACCCTATCTACCACTGAAAAAAATGAACAATCAAATCGGCTTTAATACAGTCCATCTATTCACTTTCGATACATATCTGCTATAACTAGCCCATAAACTCAATACTCTCCACTTTGTAGGCAGTGTAAATAAATTATTGTTGGTTTACATTTAACTAAAACAAAGACTTTGAGTACCAGTTTTTACTGCATTACTTCCTATTCTTTTGAGACACAACTTGGCAAAGACTTAAAAATAACTTCAGATGGCCATGTGTGTTTCATCCTTAATTTAGCACTACAGGGTCTCCCCCTCAATCTATAAGCCTCATCCCAGTGTCTTAGCTGACATTAAAGCTCAATAGTGTGACAGCAATTATTCTCAATATAACACAGTAGTATATCTGAAACCAGGAAGAAATGAAGTCAGTTGATGAAGACATAAATCCTGAATGCAAACTAGTAATGCAAAAGAGCATCAAAAGAAACACTCATTGCCACAGCGGCAATCCTTTTCTGGCTTGCATGATCACAGGACCCCCTCTTCTCCACAGCAAGAGACCCTGTGGGCTACCAGAAGAAGGTCGCATTAAAGACAAAAACCCAAATCCCTACCATCACATAAGTGTGTGTACAGCTCCTTGGCAGCCTCTACTCCTTTGGGGCTCTGGGCTGGAGCCTTTTCCTCCTCAGAGGCAGCCAGTGCATCTCCCTGTAGCACCGAGAAGCAGCTCTGGAGGAGCTGCAGAAGCAGGGTTTGGGCACAGACACATTCTTCCCTCGGGCTACAGAAAAACAAAGAATATCAGGGAGCAAAAGGGCAAGCTGCTTTTACCCTCCAAAGCCAGATAGCTGTCTACAGAGGACCTTCCTCTAGGCGTCCGGCTCCTTGAAAAGAAGCCAACTGATAGGAAGAAGAGTGGAACAGAAAGAACATTGTACTAGGAGCCTGAAAACACAGTTCCCATCTAACTCTGCCCACTCTGGGGAAGAAAATTCATTTCTGGTCCTGCTTCCTCATCTGTAAAATAAGGAGGTACTATAATACTTGAGCTGCTTATCACTAAATTGAGTACTTTATAGAAATTAAGTATTTCATAGAAACGTGAGGTGTTATTTTCAATAATAACCAAATGTTTCAAATCAGAATATGTACTAGTAGGAAGTAAAAAATTTAGACTAGTGAAACTCAGTGTTTTCAGTTTTGTTTATATGATTATCACCTTATAACAAATTCTGACCTACTTTTGCTTTAATTTACTGTAAAAATTCCAGAAGATCTGCAAATCAAGACCCGCGAAGTCCAGAAAAGATTTATATTTTAGGCCACTTTCCTTCTGCTGCACCTAAAAAATTATAAAGACCAGAGAAAATAAAATTGAAAAATGCATGTAGAGAAATAACATAATGCCCCATTTACCTCTTATTATTAAGGGACGGGGTGGCTCTACATGGGTGAAATTCCATATTACTGATGCTTACTCTTAACTTCTATA